TGTGGGCATCCCCCGGAGGGCGCAGGCTGGACCACATGCAGTCGGACGTTGCCCAAATGGACATTATACAGTGCATTACTGTATATCGACTATCTTCCATTCTTTTCTGAAACCACTCCAATCTGGCTTCCAGAAGCTTTCAATTCAGACAGCCACTCTGCCTTCATGGAAAAACTTCCATCACCTGGCTTTGAGGCCACCAAAATCTCATGATTTCCCTATTTCACCAGCTGCTACTTCTTGAAGCCACTGAGAACAGGTTTGGGCTCTGTCTTAGGCTGGGTCCTCTAGAGAAGCAAAACCAGTAAAAAACATCAATTCTGTATAAAGACATTTATATCAAGGAAATGGGTCACACAGTAGTAGAGGCTGGAATGTCCCAAATACGTTGGTCAGGCTGCAGGCTTCTTCTAATTCACACAGCCGCAGGGGCTGGTGAACCTGAGATTGGCAAGTCAGACAGCAGGGCTCTTGCTCACAAACTGCAAAGACTGACGAATCCCAAGATCAGCAGGCAAGACCACAGGTAAGCTGCTAGCTGAAATCCCAAGAACCAAGGTCAGACAAACAGGAGCCAGCTGCAGGATCCAGAGCAAGCAAAAGCCTACAAGCCTTGTCAGAGAGTCCAATTATATTCGATGCAGGCCACGCCCTTAAGGAAACTCCCTTTTAACTGACTGGCTACTCACAGCAGATCCTATCAGGGAGGTGGTCACATTATATCAAATGTCATCATGGAGCTGATCACATCATCATACAACGGCCAAACTACATCATAACTGGCAAACCACTGAAAATCATGACCCAGCCAAGCTGACACACAACCTTAACAATCACGAGCTCCAATGGAAAACTCTTCTGAAGTGACTAGTGATGGCCTGTGGGCATGGCAACTGCACGGTGTCAGCAGTGGGTTTCTTCTCCTCTCGCTTATCTCAGCGTGCTGGAATGCCCTAGGGCTCAACACTGGCCCTTTCTCTCTCCCCTCCACTCACATACTTTTATTGATCTCTTCCAGTCACATACTTTAAGTGGCTCCTTCATTTATATCTCCTTTGAACTTGCATTTCCAAAAGCCTAATCAACAGCTCTGCCCGGTTGTCTGTGTAAGAGCGCCTTAAAACAGAGTTGCCTGGCATGACTAAAGTGGCTGACACAAGTCTGAATCAAGCTCCTCCCTTTGCCCTAGATCCTTGCTTCTGCTGTAAGAATAGGTACACCCTCCCCTCCTGAATGAACAAGTTATGTGGTTATGCTTATTTAACACTGATAAAAAGTGTTTTGTTCTCAAAAAGAATGCTTGTAAACTGATGTACGTAAACAAATGATAACAATGTTTCATAAAGAGAATGACAAGAATGTTCCCTGAGAAGATGTTTATGTAAGACTGGTCTTGGGAAATTGGTTACAGTTACCCCCACAAAGTCTGTAGATTCACTAATATTATGAAAGGTTTACTTGTGATTCATGCGTAACCACCAGCCCTCCCACATAAAAATCCTCTCCCTTTTTGAGCTTTGAAGCACCTGATATTTTACCAAGTGTTGCCCCAGCTTGGCTACAACAAATTCTCAATTAAACTCTTATTATTTCTCTCCTTATAGAGTTCTTGTTATTTTACACTTTTAGACATATTTGGTGTCAGAAATTTGAGATTCTGAAGGTACATTATCTTTCACGATCCCGAGATATCGAGGACCCAGGACCTGGCCTCTACTTCCACAATTTCTCAGAGTTGTCCTAAGGTAA